GCTAGTCTGGGCGAGTAGTATTGCGTGGATTTGGGCAGTGGGGCGGGTCAGTGCGTCGGCAATGTTGGAAGCTCCCTTTTTGTAGGTGACCGTGTAATGGAAATTCGACTCGAGAAAGTCGAGCCAGCGGATCTGTCGTGGGTTGAGGTGGGGTTGTGCACGGAGATACTGTAGTGATCGGTGGTCTGTCCGTACTGTCACGTCTGCGCCGGTCAAGTAACAGCGCCACACTTTGAACGCATGCACGATCGCAAGCATTTCGCGATCGTGTATCGGGTAATTCTTCTCAGGTGGGTGCAGCTTTCGTGATTCGTATGCGATGGGCTGTAGGCCGTTCCCGAAATCCTGTAGTAGTACGGCTCCGATAGCGATGTCGCTTGCGTCAGTAATGACTTCGAATGGGCGGTGTGGGTCGGCAATGCGCAGGACAGGCGGTGAACAGAGAACATTTTTCAGGGTAGAGAAGGCAGCATGCTCTTTCTCCCCCCACATAAAAACGACCCCCTTCCTCAGCAGATCCGTCAGTGGGGCAGTTAAGCGTGCCATGTCAGGGACGAACCGACGGACGTAACTAACAAAACCCAAAAAACTCTGCAGCTCCGTGATGTTTGTCGGGGGGTGCCAAGCTTTGACCGTATCCAGCTTCTTCGGGTCAATCTCAACCCCAGCCTCCGAAATAACGTGCCCCAAAAATTCTAACCTATCCCGAAAGAATTCGCACTTAGACCCCTTGGTCAATAACCGATGCTCCTCTAAAATTTTAAACACTGCTTCCAGGTCCGCTAAATGCTGCTGCTTATCGCGGCTGTAGACGAGAATGTCGTCGAGGTAGACTATCACACACTTATCTAAAAGTGGTCTAAACGCCTCGTTCATGGTCATCTGGAATGTTGCAGGTGCGTTGGTCAGCCCGAAAGGCATCACGGTATACTCGAACGACCCGTACCTAGTCCTAAAAGCTGTCTTGGCGCAGTCCAATGGTTCGACTCTAATCTGGTGGTAACCTCCCCGTAAATCTATCTTTGAGAACACCCGTGCTGTTCGCAGCTGGTCGATCAGTTCGTCGGCGCGGGGAATGGGGTATCGTGACTTCACTGTAACCCTGTTGAGCGCTCGGTAATCGATGCACATGCGAAACCCTCCATCTTTTTTTGGTGTGAATAGTATCGGTGCGGCGAACGGCGACGAACTCGGTCGGATAAACTGCTTTGCTAACAGGTAATCTAACTGCTTCCTCAGTTCGTCGAGCTCCGGCTGTGTCAGTCTGGACTGGCGCTGTACAGTTGGCTGTGCCCCCGGCTCTAACTCTATCCTATGGTCGTGCGCTCGCTAAGGTGGCAGTCCTTCCGGTAAGTCGTCGGGGAAAATCCCCGGGTACCGTTTCAATAGCTCCTGTAGTTCAGGCGGTACCGCTGTCAGCAGTTTCTGAAAATCACTCGGCTACTCAGTTTCTCCTACCACTGCGATGTCCACTGCATACACGTCAGCTCCAGCGGCGACTGCCCGTTTCATTGTTATGGCGTTGACGTGGACCGTCGACGACTTAGGCGACTGCCAGCGTGGTAGTTCGACCCAGTTACCACTACTTCGCACAGTGCAGCTGCCTGTCGTCCAGTCGATTCTCGGGTTGTAACGTCGCAACCAATCACGTCCTAGTAAAATGTCGTGCCCATCCAGTGTCGTCGCGAGCATTTCTTGTGTAAACCCGAAGTTCCCTCCGCAGCGAACTTTTACTCTCTCCACCTTCTCCCGTATGGCCAGCGGCGTGCCGTCGACTAAGCGTGCATCAATCTCAGGTAAGCACCGGCTAAGTGTCAGTTGAAGTTTCTGTGCGGTCGCGGTATTAACTAAACTGTGACTAGCTCCTCCGTCGATAAAAATCTTGACTGCTGCTCCCTGTATTTTCCCGTGGATCAGTACTGGGCAATCCGTCGCTGTACCCTCCTTATTCATCCGAGCCCGATCGATAGCGTGAATCGGTACTGTGACTCGGTGAGGGTCGGTGTGGTTGGGCGAGCAGGCAGTCTCGTCAGTAGTCGGCCCAATTTCTACTGACTGCTGGCGTTTCCCTGCCTCTGAGACTCCCTCCCTTGCTCTGCTCCGCGGCGCCTTAGCTCCTCTGGACACTCACTTTTACGATGGCCCGGCCTGTTGCAAGCAAAGCAGCGCCCCTTGAATGGTGCGGCAGCTGCATTCGTCGCAACGGCGTGTACGGTGGCGTGCTCGATCGGTCCTCGAGGACGATGTCCGTAGTAGGACCCCGGTCTCGGACGGCGCAAAATGTCGATTTTCTCGGCGAGTGCGAGAATCTCGTTAAAATTCGAGAGTCCGCGTAGCATTATTTCCTGCGAGATTTCCGGCTTTAGCCCTCCGACGTAACGGTCCACCAGCTCCGCTTCGTGCATGTAGCCGACCTGCTCGCATAATGCGAGAAAACCGCTCGTGTAGTCTTGAACCGACCCGAGCTGCCGCCAAGTGCGCAGTTTCTGACGCGCCGAAATAGAAGCCGCGATCGGCTCGAAGCGCGCCCGAAGCCCTACGCACCACGCATCCCACGTGCTGTATTGGGCGGTTTCGCAGAATGAAATCCAGTTGACTGCTGGGCCCGCGGGCCCTTCCTCTTGCGACGGTGGCTCGTAGGCGCGCGGTGACGTCACGATGACTCGCCACCAGTCCATAGCGGGGCCCCTCAACAGCGAGACGGCGTATCGTATCTTCGCTGCGTCCGACTCGACGTAGTTCGCGTCAAAAAACACGTTCATCGTGAAGATCCACCACTGAACCGTCGGACCACCACGCTGGCTCGGGTCGAAACAGGGCGGGCGCTGCGGCTTGAGTGGCATCGGCGCCATGATTGCCTGGTCGCCACTTGTTGCCGCAAACTCCACGTGCCGACGGGCTTCACGAGGCTCCCGTGGGCTTGGTGCGGCCCGGTTTCCTCCCATACCAGGCATTGGCTGGGCGGCGCTGTCACTGGCTGCGCCTGAGCGCTGTCCCACGCTGTCGTGCTGTGTTGGTGTGCCGGACGAGATGACAATCGGCTCGTCTGACTGTGCAGGTGCATTTTGTGACGCTGGAGCATTCGCCGCAGATTGCTGACGCGCGGAGTCACGTTCTGCCGTGAGCGTCGCAATCTCGAGTGCTGAATCTTCAACTTGACGGATCAGACGGTCAAGCTGCTCCTGCGTCAACGTCGCGAGCGTAAATTCAGCCATGGCGGGGGTGTCGGGCAAGCGCAGCGAGAGCCTCTGTCGTGGCCGTGCGTGCTTACGAGAGAGCACTACGAGCGGCGGTGCTTGATCGCTGAGAGACGTCTACCCCCCCCAAAAAATTGAGATAGTGGGGAACGAAGGTGTGAATGCGGTCCGAGAAGATATCGTAGGCTCTGAGGGCATGTTCCTACGGCCCCTTATCAGGCCAACCTCTTATCAAGCTCACGTCAAAACACACTGAAAATTCCCTAAACCCAAAAACCCTCGCTACTTTTACCAGGCAAGGCTGACAGGAGGTTTGCCTGATAAGAGCGTAGGAACATGCCCTGAATACCAAGTGTTACGGGTGCAATGGAGTGAGCGAACGAAGATTGCACTATCGAAGCAAGAGTACACTGAGCGAAGGCATGAGCGAAGAATTATATAGCGAAACTACAGTGGTAACGGTAATGGACTGTGGTTGTCGCGCGACGGGCCTGGGACTGAGGTTGGAAAAAGTGTCGAGGCGGAGGTCCGGAGCGCGGGTTACCGCCGAGCCGTGAGGTCGGGGTGCGACATGCGAAAAATGGCGGGCGGATTATCGATGCGAGTGGTAACGGTGCTGACTGAGGTGCTACAGTGATGTACGCGTTGAGCAGGGATGCGAAGTAAGGAAAAGGAATTTTCCTTACAGGGATCAACTAAAGACCCATTATTCTTTGACCTTTTTATAACCTAACCTGTTAATAGAACCTTGTTTGACGCATGGCTTCTCCGTGCCACAACCACAAGTTATTCCCCTTAGGGCCCCTCCGATTGGGCTTTGATTTCTGGTTTGGAGCATTTCACTTGCCGGAACTTGAATTGCGATTCGTCGGCCAGTCAGTGGGCGTCCGATATCAACCTATCGTACTAAGCTCGGAAATTCAGGTGGCTTTGGGTTTTCAAACACCAAACAGGCTTGGCAGCATACTCTGCCTACTTCGCCTGCCACCATCATCTCCTTTGGTTGGATCGAAGGAGAGTAAACAGCAGTTCTTGCCGCTAACTAACTTCGTTCTCTTTCCAGCCTTATTTAACGAACATGGCCCCTTATAATGTAAGGCTTCAGCAATTTGTCACTCCGTATTCCCTCCTCCACTTATCTCTTCTGTCATTGTCTTCGACATCCTTGTTGTCCAATGGCTCTTTGCCCTTCTAGTAGTTTTCGGAACGCTTTCATCCGATTCATATTGATGCATCCTGGACCTGCTTTATTTGCTCCGGCTGCCGCTTTCTGGGTTGAGTAACGGGAGAAAGATGGAACGATTGCCTTTGTCTTGTGATCGGGTCTCCTTTTGTCACCGCCTCTGCGGTGCGTACAGGCGAGCCATCTCCTCCTGGAGGAGCCAATCCGGTTGGCATCCATTCTCGAGTCCTCGTCCTACCATGTGCGTTCTCCCCATCACCTGACGTCCGCCCATCACCTGGTTTTTCCCCAATCACCGCCTTGCAGTGTCGAATTTCTCTTAGCGACTGATCGTTTATTTCAGTCTCGATTGTTCGATGGACTCGGCGGTTCATTGATGACAATTGATATTGACAATTTTTTTAAACAGCCCAACCCCCACACACGCACGCGCGCGCGCGCGCGCGCACACACACACATACACACGCACATCATTCGGAACTTTTCTGCATCGTCACCTGTGTGTTCCCGATGTCGATCATGCTCCGCAGAAATCGCTGCCATGTCTGACCAAGATCGTTGCGACCGTTGGTGGGACGAGCCAGAGCGTTGAGGTGCTGGAAGGGCTGCTCGAAGCCGGCATGAACGGTACGGACCTCCCGCTCCGCACTGCCATTGTCCGACTCCCTGCTGGCTCTGTCAAGGCTCGTCATCTCGCTCCCTCTCCCAAACGTGTTGCGTTGGTTCCCGTGCTCGCAGTCGCGCGATTCGACTTCTCGCATGGGGACTCGGACTATCACCAAACCACGCTGGACAACCTTCGCGCGGCCATGCGCAAGACGAAGAAGCTTTGTGCGGTAAGGGTCCCTCACGCCGATTTTTTTCCACAGAACCGCGTTCACACTCACCTCGCCCTCGCTGACTCCAGTACGCCCTTAAATGCTCCCCTTCCTTACCTTCCACACTGTTGCTTGTGCCACCCATGAGCCACCCCACCAGGCGCTCGTTTATGCCGTCTTTCTCGATGCTGGAGATTCAACTTGTGGGTGTCTGCGTCCTGTGGCGGTTTCTTACCCTCTTCCTTTCTCCCTTCCTGCCAACGTCGCCCCTCGCCATCGTGTGTGATCGTCATGTGTGGTCGTCATGTGTGGCCGTCGTGTGGCCGTTTTGGTTCACTGCGCCGTGCTGGGCGCGGTGGCGTGGCTCCCAGGTGATGTTTGACACGATGGGGCCGGAGATCACGATCCACAACGCGTCGGGCAGCCCCATCTCGCTCACGGCCGGCGACTCCATCACCATCACGCCCAGCCCCTCCGCCGCGCCCATCTCCTCGCAGCTGCTCCCCATCAACTTCAAGGGCCTCGCCAAGGTAGGTATGCCTCGCCAAGGTAGGTATGCCTCGCCAAGGTAGGTATGCCTCGCCAAGGTAGGTATGCCTCGCCAAGGTATGCCGCGCTAAGGTATCCCTTGCCTTCACTTGCTGCCCGCTCCGCCCTTCACCCCTCCGCCCAACGGCGCTCCCACTCGCACCCACCTGCTCCCATGTGCAACCGCTCTTGCACACACGTACATGTGCCCATGCATTCCGCCACTTCAGTTGCAAATGCACTCTCACTGCACGCTGTCTCTGTGGCGCCCCGTGCAGGCAGTGAAGCCGGGAGATGAGATCTTCGTGGGGCAGTACCTGTTCACGGGCAGCGAAACCACCTCCGTCTGGCTCGAGGTGCACCCCCTCCGCCCTTACTCCCTCTTCGCCCTCGCCACCCTCCCTAGCCGCGTCCTCGCCCTCGCCCTCGCCCTCGCCCGCGCCCTCGCCCGCGCCTTTCCCTGGGCCTCGCCTCTCCATTTCTGATAAGCTGCTTGATTCTCGTTTTCCTGTACCTTGCATGCACTCCCTCTGATGTGTCCATGTCTGTTGTGCTGCCAATGTGCCTTGCAAGACCCGGTGTGCGGAGTCATTCATCCTCACCTTGTGTTGCCCATGTGCTCGTGCTGCCATGCTACCAGGTCCACGAGACGAAGGGCGCTGATGTGATCTGCTTCGTTAAGAACAGTGCCACGCTGGCGGGCACTGTGTTCACGGCCCACGTGGCACAGGTTGGTGATCTCGCCTATAGCGCTGCTGCACATCCCCATTCCCATCCCCATCTCATTCCCGTCGCTTCCCGCGTCCTTATCCCATTTCCCCGTGTTTTGCTTCAGTCTACAGGATTCGTAGTTCTTCTCCTACTTGCATCCTCACCATCCTCTCTACTCTCCTCTACCCACTCCCCACTCCCCACCATTCTGCACTTCCTCCAGCCTCTCTCTCTTCCCTGTCTCTGTTCCATAGTTGTCCTCTCGTCTCCACGCCCCTCGTGTCACCCGTGTCGTCCCCCCATCACCCGCACCCCTGGGCGGCACAGGTGCGCATAGACCTGCCGACGCTGACGGAGGAGGACAAGCGGCTGATTGCCACGTGGGGGCAGCGCAACAGCATCGACATCATCTCCCTCTCCTTCACACGCCACGCTGACGACGTCCGCCAGGTGCTCTGCTGCTGCTGCTGCTGCTGCTGCTTCAGGTGCTTCTTTTAAGTGCTGTCTTGGATGCTGCTTCGCATGCTGCCTCAGGTGCTACTTCAGGTGCTGCCTCAGGTGCTACCTCAGGTGTTGTCTCAATTGCTACTTCATATCTTGTCTCAGGGTTTATCTTGAGTGCTGCCTCGGATGCTGTCTCAGGCGCTGTCTCATGTGCTCTCAGGTGCTGCATCATTCTCTGTCATGGTGCTGTCGCAGGTCCCCCTTGCGTGCACATCTTCGCTGTCCTTTTTGCCTTTACTCTACTCCTACTCATGTGTTTGTGGGCTTGGGTCTGTTCTTCTTGCCCTCTGTTCCCATCCTGTTTCATTCTCTGTCCCGTGAGCAGGCCCGAGCACTGCTGTCGAAGCTGGGCGATCTCTCTCAGACGCAGATCTATGCCAAGATTGAAAACATGGAGGTCAGCTGCACCCACCATCCCACCCCTGCTAACTCCCATTTCTCACTCGCCCTCGCTCTCTCCCATGCCATCCCACGCCCCCCCCACATTTCACCCTTTGGTTTGTGTTCACGGCTGATACTCTTGTTGCTCGTTCACTGTGTCTCGGTGCCGGGTGCGCGGTTGTGTTGTGTGTGAGCAGGGATTGAAGCACTTTGACGAGATTCTTCAGGAGGCAGACGGCATCATCCTCTCACGAGGCGATTTGGGCATTGACCTCCCAGCAGAGAAGGTGAGTAAGCGATTCCAGTCACAGCCTCGAGAGCATTGCGCACTAATGTGGCTCCCCACCTGCTTGATCACAGTAAGAATCAGAGTGCACCCCAGCACCCCTGCCCTCAACACACCTACCCTCAGCACCTATACCATTGTGTCTTCCACCCTCAGCTCCCCGAAGTGGTGATTAATTGCTCCCCAACGCTCGTCACGTATCTCTCTATCTCTTGCATCCTTGTCGCATGTGCCACGGCCTGCCTGCTTTGATCCCCGTGGTGCGGGGGGGAGCGCAGGTGTTTCTGTTTCAGAAGGCGGCCATCTTCAAGTGCAACATGGCGGGCAAGCCATCCATCATCACGCGTGTCGTCGACACCATGACAGACACGCCGCGCCCCACCAGAGCCGAGGCCACCGACGTTGCCAACGCCGTGCTTGATGGTCCGTGCACCCACCATGCACCCCGTATCGTACTTCAGTGTGCCGATCAAAGTGGAATAGTGGCCACATGCTGCTGTCAAACGCACATGTTTTTTTGTTTTTTGTTGGAACTGGTGTATAGTCTCCCCCACACACCACGTTTGTGGTTTTGCTGCTGTGCTGTGTGCGGTGTGGTGTGCAAGAGCAGGCACGCACACGGTGCTGCTGGGAGCGGAGACGCTGCGAGGGCTGTACCCCGTGGAGACCGTCATGACCGTGCGCAAGATCTGCGCTGAGGTACCATGCCGTGCTGCATGCTTCCTTCTCCCCCCGTCCTTCTCTCGCTACGGCAATTTCTCAAGTGCATGCACGCTGACACACACACACATTCACACATGTACTATCAACCTTCCTTGTTTACCCCCCCTTCCTGCGCATGCATGGGCCAGGCGGAGAAGGTGTACAACCAGCAGCTCTACTTCAAGAAGACGGTCAAATACGTGGGCGAGCCCATGAGCCACATCGAATCCATCTGCTCCTCTGCAGTATGCGCACTCCCTTTTGCACCGCACCACCTTGTTGCCAAGCGCACTCACATAGCACATGCATGCGCGTGCGTGGTGCTTGTCGTTGCACCTCAGACCTGTGCTGTGTGCTGGGTCCCAACGTAACGCGCCCTGTTTGGACCACTGCTGCTGCTGCAAATGGCCCTCTCCATGTTTCACCCGCTCGCTGGAGTTGTGTCGTGTGGTTGTGCCCTTTGGTTTTGTGGTGCTGGTCCCACCAGGTGCGTGCGGCAGAGAAGGTGCGCGCGTCAACCATCGTGGTCTTCACGTCGTCAGGCCGCACAGCTAGGTCAGCCCTGCATTCCAGTGTGCTGCCCCACACGCATCAACAACCACGTGTACTGCATCATGCATCACACCACACCATTGCCCTGTCACGCACTTCAGAACTCTCGCATGGCGTGTGGGTTGGCGAGTACTTGTGTTGTTCTGACTGGGCACTGTGCTGGGTGCATGGCAGGCTGGTGGCCAAGTACAAGCCCACGATGCCCACGCTGGTGGTGGTGGTGCCGCGCCTCAGCACCAACCAGCTCAAGTGGAGCTTCACTGGTGCCTTCCAGGCCCGCCAGTGCCTCGCCATTCGAGGCCTCTTCCCCATGCTCGCCGACCCACGCAACCCGGTACCGCTCACCCTGCATGCCCCGCTGCACTCCTGCTTCCCTGCTCTGTTTTCCCATCCATGCTGTCAGACCCCTGTTCCTGTGCTCCCTTCTTTATAGGTCCTCTTTTCTTGCTCAACGTCCTTACCCAGCTGCGTGATTTCTCCTCCCACCACCTGTGTGATGCTGTGCATGCGTGTGGCAGTCGGCGAGCAACATCACGACGAACGAGACGGTGCTGAAGATGGCGATGGAGAAGGGCAGGGAGATGGGCCTCATGCGCGCTCATGACCGCGTCGTCGTCGTGCAAAAGCTCGGCGACTCCTTTGTTGTCAAGATCCTTGAGATTGGCACCTAACCATGATGTTGCTGCTTAGGTATCACTGTAGCGTTAGCCTACGCGCACATCCATCCCTTGTAAGCGGTATGTTCTTAGTGTTATTAGAAGCTGGGCCAGCCCCAGCATCTTCCGTCAGAGTTACCCGAATTAGTCCAGTACGCACGAATTTCAATGAATTTATGGAAAATAATAAACCCACGTGATTATATTAGTATGCATGATAATAATAAACCCATTCCAGCTTACCGTAGTATGCATCACTGTATTGCAATTCTGAGAAACAAATGGGCTTGTACTTGTTGGTTCCCTTATGCAGTATGCTGCTTTTGCTGTGTGAGCTGTTCGGTCATTGCGGGGATCTGTTCCTGCGATGTGTGGCGCGAAACCCCATACATCAGGGCAACGGTCGCACACGTCGCACAGACCTACGTACACACGAAACAGCCAAGACAGTGCATTCCCACACCATTCCAGCTTACCGTAGTTAGGAAATTTTTGAAGGTTCTTGGGATCTTGTTCGTTCGAGATTGTATCAGGTCAACATGTTCTTAGTCGACTGGTTCTATAGCGTTTTAGCTACGCTCGGTCTATGGCAGAAAGAGGCGAAGATATTGTTTTTGGGGTTAGATAATGCCGGGAAAACCACCTTGCTGCATATGTTGAAAGATGAGGTGAGTTAGTGGAGCTGCTTAAATCTATTGGTGATCACGGGAGAATTTTCTCAATGACGTTTGATCCATTTTTTTACTACATGATGCTTAAGAAGGTGATCTCTCCATGCTGGTTGATCGGTGCAGAGACTAGCTCAGCATCAGCCAACACAGCATCCAACATCGGAAGAGCTGAGTATCGGAAAGATCAAGTTCAAGGCGTTTGATCTCGGTGGTCATCAGATAGCCCGACGCGTTTGGAAGGACTATTACGCGAAGGTCAGTGTTGCTGTTATTTATTGTTACTCGTGTCCATATATAGTCCTCCTGGTAGTCTTGAGCGATTAGCATCTGTTATCTCTGCAGGTGGATGCCATAGTGTACCTCGTCGACGCTGCCGATAAGGAGAGATTCATCGAGTCGAAGAAGGAACTCGATGGACTACTTTCAGACGACTCCCTGGCTCTCGTGCCGTTTCTGATCTTGGGAAACAAAATCGACATTCCAACTGCCGCATCCGAAGATGAGCTTCGTTATTCCCTGGGCCTGACCAACTACACGACAGGGAAGGGCAAGGTAAATTTGGCAGAGTCCAACATCAGACCGATTGAAGTCTTCATGTGCAGTGTGGTGCGTAAGATGGGATATGGTGAGGGCATTAAGTGGCTTTCGCAGTACATCAAGTAGATTTTTCTCGAAGGATGCTAAGGGGAGGGGAGGGGAGGGGGGCTTATACGGATGTCCTCTTTGTATGAGGGGCGCGGGCTCAAATTCATTACTTCTTACTTTCTGTAGGCAAGTAGAGAGGTTTCACTGTTGCCAACACTTGTCATCCTGCCTGTATTGGTCAGAGACGTGCCATGCAGTCCATGGTCGTTAGACTAGCATTGGACTTCAGCTTGTAGCCAGTGTTGCTAGCAGCTTGAGTTACGAAATGAGATCCATTCTGCTTTACAGCATGTTCTCTTCTCATATCAGCACCCGACTGCAGCAGCAGTTATCATAACTGCGGTAAAGAAATCGCATGTGCCTTTTTGGCAGCAGGCTTTCATGCCAGAAAAAAAAAGTGAGAAATCCATCAACAACTTGCAAGTAAATTGCTGACTAAGTACCGTATCATGCGAGCACTGGTGAGAGTGAAGGTGTCCCCAGAGTGTGGCGTTTCGTGATGAACCTGGTAGGCGAGGGAACAAGTAGGGTAGGGGGGGGGGGGGGGGGGGGGGGGGGCACAGGACACTTGTGCAACCCATGTGACCATCCATCCAACAGACACAAGCGCTGGCAGCGATGCGCTGCTGTATTCTAGCGTAAGAAATACATGGCCTTCTTAAGAGTCAGACAGCAATACCTGAAAAAGTCACGCCAGAGAAGCTCGAAGACCAGCCAGTCCATGCTCGGTTCCTTGGCAGCTGTGGCAGTGATTGCCTTGGGTCCAGTCAACCTGAAGGAGGTGCACAGGGATGACAGCACTTGAAACCACGTGAAGCAGTTGAGCTCAAGAAACTACACCCATCCCTCTCATCCAGAGCTATGCCTGCCACATACATTCCCCTTTCCCCTCAATCTGTCCATGCACACACCTGGCCTTGGCTGCTGGCTTGCTTGCCAGCTGGTGCGCGAGAGAGCCCTCAAGCTGCAGCACTTGGTGGAAGACGCGGCGAGGGGACAGGCAGCCCATGGCGAGCCATGGAGAGATCTTGCATGAGAAGCTTGCCCCGTACTGGCCGCTGCTGGGGGCCGTGGCCTTGGAACCAGCCGCAGCAGACTTGGACTCCGCAACAAAGCCCGAGAGCTTGCGCAAAGCTTCCGCCTCCCCTCCCTGCATCGAGGTCATGTGAGCGTTCTGGCACAAACATACACACACCAAGGCTCTCTGTGAGTGCGGATGGTTCGTAAATAAAGAAAAAGGAAGGAAAGGAAGAGGCGAGGAAGAGCAAAGTGGGCATGCTGGAACCAAAATGGAGTGGCAGCCTCAGGTAATACCTGAGTGGGAGGGTGAATGGCGGAGAGACCAAGGGCCTCAAGAGAGGGAATCTCCCCCGGCTGCACGTTGCCCATGACAGGCATGGGCTTGAGGTGCTCCGGTGCTTCCACCATGTCCCGCACCTGCACCGCTCCCACAGGCACGGCCACCACAATCACAGGGTTCAACACGGGGACCGCAATCCAGGTTTGAGTTACCATGTCACAAGAGAACCAGGGGGAAAGAAAGAAAGAAAGAGTGCGAAAGAGGGAGCAAGGGTTGGGGCGTGGTGCAGACCTGGATGCGGGAGACGGCTTGACGAAAGGCGCTGTAGTTGGAGGGCATGTGGGGCAGCGCGAAGGGCAGATCGTCCACATGGAACAGCGTGCTTCCCCAATATGTCTGTGTCTCCACTCCCTCCTCCTGCCATGCCCGCCACCACACACACGAAACAACACACACGCACTCATGCACGCACACGTCCGCACACGCACATGCAAATGCACACGCACATGCAAATGCACACGCACATGCAAATGCACATGCAAGTGCACATGCACACGCACATGCAAACGCACATATCCACATAAAGGATGTACGACAGGTTGAGTGTACGGTCATGGACTTGCTAAGAAAAATTTCACACATGCATATTGGCTTTTCTCTTCCCCTACTGTACGTGCTACCACTCAATCTGAATCCCACTTTCCCCCGCATCCCACTTTCCCCCGCATCCCACTTTCCCCGCATCCCACTTTCCCCGCATTCCACTTATTTCCACATCCCACTGTCCCGTGGTCCCACCTTGAGCCGGGCGGCCACAGCAGCCTCCACGCGGCTCTCCTCGGCCGTCACCTCCTGCTGCAGCACCACGGCCTGCGCCCCCACCGCGCGCGCCAGGCGCGGCAGCACGTCCTCAGGCCGCCCCACGCGCAGCACCAGGTCGCTGCCGCGCTCCCGCAGTGCCACTCGCAGCGCCGCCACGCACTGCAGCAGGAAGCGCGCCCGGTGCGGCCCCGTGCGGTCAAACCCCGACGCCGACTTGCCTGCGCGCAGCCATGCGAGCCCAGGGGTGGCGGGCAGACGGGGGTGGGGCAGAGGTGGTGGGGGATGCATGGTGGGAGTAGGAGGAAAGAGCGATGGACGTTAGAGCTATGCAAATGTAACGCCTGTGGGGCTTACACGTAAGGGTTGAGTGCATCCGCTGCGCCTCAAACATAACCCTCGTTTTGACCCAGTGGGTAGCGAGGTGTTACAGCAAAGGCGTCAGTCAAGGGGGAGGGGCTAGGCAAGGAAGCGGCAGGTGGGAGGGGAAGGGGAGGGAGAGGGGAGGAGGGGGGGGGGAAGGGGAAGGGCGAACCGTAGTCGCGGGGGTCGAAGCAGTAGACGGGCAGCACAGCAGCGGCGTCGTTGTGGGCGGCAGCGAGCGCCTCGTTGTCGTGCAGGCGCAGGTCGTTGCGGAACCACTGCACCACCGTCCTGTGTGCCCCCGCCGCTCCCTTGGGGTCGCTGTGGGCGTGCAGGGAGGGGTGAGAGGCACGGCATGAGCAGAGGGAGCGACACTGACTGAATGGCGCGAGAGATGGAGAGATGGGAATGAAGGAAGGCACGTGGAGAGGGGGCAAGGGAGATGAATGACACGACGTCTGACAGTGCTGCTGTCAGCTCTCCCATGCTAGGTGCTTACCAGGTGTTGCCCGCCTGCCGTGCCAGGTGCTTACCAGGTGTTGCCCGCCTGCCGTGCCAGGTGCATGAGATCAGGGAACGCCGTTGCTTGCTTCGCGGGGCCCACAGCTGCATGTGTGGGTGACACGTCAGCAGCCAGCCCGTTGACAGCTGCCACGTGGCAAGCCGACATGACAGGCATGGGCGCGAGGCACTTGGTCTGGAAGGACAGTGCGGGGCGCGCAGCTGACACGGCAGTCAGGCGGGCGAGAGGGGAGGCCGCAGGGCGGACGAGCGGGGCAGAGGGGGAGAGGGACGTGGGCCGGCTGGCGGGAAACAGCATTGGGGGGCCTGCAGAGGAGAGGGCAGAGGCGGAGAGGGCGAGAGAAAGAGAGGCGAAGGCAGGAACAGGGAGGGAAGGCGGGGGAGGGGCCGAGGGAGGAGCGACAGGCAGCAGAGGCACGGAGGGAGGGGTGGGAGCAACAACGGGGGAGGGGTTGTGAGGAGCGGGCGCAGTGGGCTCGGGAGCGGCGGGGGTGGCCGACGGTGAGGCGAGCGGGCGAGAGCCATTTGCAGCTGACGTGGCAATGTTGTGGTCTGACAGCATTGCCAGGTCATCAAAGTCGAGGGCGGACGGGGCGTCCGCGTTGGCGTGCGCGGGGAGGGGTGGGGGAAAGAAGGCAGCAGCTGTGGCGCGCACCACGCCTGCCATGGCGTCCCCCAGCGCCTCCGCGCCCACCCCGCACTCCGCCCGCCACGCCACACACGGCACGCCCCGCCGCGCTTCCGCTCCCATTGCCTCCTCCAACGCTGCCCGCCTCGCCTCTGCCCCCTCTCCAGATTCGCCCTCTTCCCTTCTCCCGCTCCCCGCGTTCACCACGACCGCGTGCGCCCACACGCCCGCCCCCAGCGCCCTGCTCACCGCGCGCATCACCAGCCCCTCCGCCTCGCTCCTCCCGGCGTCCCCTCCAACGAACACGATGACGTCAGCAGGGCGGGCGCTCAGCAGGTGCTGGCGGAGGCGCATGGCCGCGGCGAGGGCGTCGGCTTCGTGCGCGGGCGGGCGGAAGCAGGCGGCGGCGATGGTGGCGCGAAGGGTGTGGCGATTGACAACCCGCTTGGTTACGCGGAGAGGTTTGCCGGGCTGGGGAGGGGAAGAGGGGCGAAAATAGCGAGTGAATGCACGGGAAAGAAGATAAGAGGGAAGGAAAACTGAAGGTACAAAAACGAAAGGGCAGACGCGGAATGCGCTGGGTGACCTGAGAGAGGGACGCGTCGCGGAAGATGGCGCTGGCGGCGATGCCATTGGCGACGGCTGCGACGGCAGGCTCATCACAGCCGACCAACAGCACCGTCGCATGTCGAGTCGTCGCGTTCGCATGAAGGCGTGCGACGATGAAGCGATCGAGAGGGGACGTGGGAGCCATGCGTGGAATGCAGCTTGTTTGCGGAAGTGTTGAAAAGAATCGCGAAGCACAAACGGTCCAGAAATGGCTAGGCTCCACCTTTGTATAGAATCCAGAAATTCGGTCGCTTTGTTGCTCACATCCATCCCAATTCCTTCGATAATTCACACTTCTGTACGAATATATCTGGTTCCTATCAAGACTGTTTCCTACAACATCTCAATATCGGGCGATGAAGTCGCGTACATGTGTATGTTCCACGAATATTGTAAGGATTTACAAATCCTTACTGAGGCACTCGTTAGCGAGGCCATCCCGAGGGTCACGCGACGAACCTGTCTTGCCTATTTCGTCGCACCGAACCACCCACGAGTCGGCCTCCACTCCAATCGCAACCATCACCGAGCCATCCCATCCCGAACCCCCCGCCTAGCTAGCTTTTCCCCTATTTAGGCCTCCCTACTTCATTGTTTCTTCATTCAGTAATTCAGTAATTTCCATTCTCGTTATTCGTTTTACTGCGCACTCTGCAAGTTGATTCATAACAAATATCTCTCTCAGGGAAGTAAACCGGGTTACCATTACGTCAGAAATTCCTCTATTTCCGAGAACCAGCTCCCGCCTTCCTGAAGTATCTCTGTCGTTAGTCGATT